TCATCTAGTCCAACCCCCTGCTCCAGCAGGGACACCCAGAGCACGGGGCACAGGGCGGCATCCAGGTGGGTTGGGAAGATCTCCAGAGMAGGAGACTCCACAGCCTCCCTGGGCAGCCTGTGCCAGGGCTCTGGCACACAGACACACAGAAAAAAAAATCAGTAAAAGTTGCCTTTTTTTTTTTCTTGAGAAACTGGAAGGATACTGGTAAGTTATATGGACAAAATGTCTGTCATTGTGATGAGGCTGTGTTCCATTACTAACCCATTTGGAAAGTTGGATTGAAATCAAAATGCAGACCATGCATTCCACTGTGAAAATAGTGCACCACAGAATTTGCCTAATGATTTGATGTAACTAAAGTGCAGTAAGAGAACTTGACCTGAAAACTGGAAACTTTCATGTACTTTGCCAAGACAGTATTTGGAAAAGAAACATACAATGTAGGCTGTGTCATGGATTTTTGCCAAAATATTTGGAAATTATGAAAATTAGCAATGTAAAATCAAATTCTTACTCAKACAGTCAACAAAATATTGAATATARGGCGTTCATCTGTGATAATTCATCTAATTGCATGCATTCTTCAAACATACCAAGCTTGAAACAGAACAGGTTTGCATAAAGTAGGAGTTTCTTTTGGAAAAATAAAAACCACAATTTGCTAACCACCTTATAATGACACTGAGTAGCTGCATTCCCATTCGAAGCACAAGTTCGTAGCATTTCCATCAATCTGCTGTTTCTGTTATCTGACAGAGAGAGAGAAATGGCTTTTGACCTACTTCCAACAAAGGAGATTAAGCAACATCCAGGGGATGGCCACTGTGCAGAAAAGGCAACTCAGGGTCGCTAACAGAAGTCTAAGAAGGAGGTTCTGAGCAATCTGAAAGTTTGCACCTTTTTGTGGGGAAGAATTTCCACCGTAATGCTGCAAAATGGCTATTAAAAACAAGCTCTGTCTCCAGCATTGGTACAGCCCAAAATGAGAAGCTGAAAAGAGCATGACTTTGGTTTGCAGTTTGTCCATATTATTCTGTGTGTAAATATGATCAAGGGAAAGAGATGAGAAGGAAACACTTAAATCGATTATGGAGAATTATACTGATTCTCCCTCRCTCCCCGCTATTGGTCTCTCTTTCCTGCTCTTGAGTGACTGGGCTACAGGCTCCTYAGGAGTTTTAGGGGATACTGGAATTCCAAAGAATACACTGGAGTGCTGCTCCTCTGTTTGCTGACAAGCATCCTCATGAGCCAGTAGACATCATGTGGTCTGCTCATTTTTGGTAGATCAGCCTTTGGCCATTGCATTTCAGCAAATGATGAACTGAGCTCATTAGTAGCCTCTTTGTTTGACCTGCCCCATAACTGATTCTTCATTATATTTATTGTAATTTCAGTGTTCTTTCTGCCCTTGTATTCTGTTCCTTTCCACTGTCATCGTCTCTTATGGCTCTCTGTGGTTTCTTTTCTTACTTTGGTCAAAATGATATATATAAACTTGTTGTTCACAGCTCAGAAATCTTAACTCTTTAAAAAGTGCATTTTTTTTAATAAAATTAYGTGTTATAAGTGTGAATGTTAAGAAAGTGGAAGGAAGCTGTAGTGGTATTCTGAAAACAAATATTTGAAAGCACTTTAGAAGAAGTGACCAAAATTAATGGTAGGAAATCACCAAATTGGAAGGAGGTATTGTAATATACATATACTAGAGGAAAATGGAGAAGTTGCAGACAGTTATTGTAACAAAGATTATTATTCAGTAAAATTTTACTTGCATAGACTTTAAAGGCTGAAACCATGGTATCTAGTTTGTGGTTTCAATTCCGGTTATAGATTTTGTGCTGCTACAATTGAAGATAAACAATATACTACTTTTAGTGGATTGTACTTACCTTCTTGCACCACTATCAAAATGCATGTAGTCTTCTAATTCCAAGTGTCAAACTGTGTATTTTATTCTATAAGTATTCCTATTTATARGTGAAGTGGGGAGCTTTTGATCACAGCATAATGTTTTTGAAGAGACTGACATTTCAGTAAAAACATACATATGGGTATAGTATGTGACTATATAATATTCCCKCACAATATCGTGCATACTAAAGCAGCACATTACACATCAATTTTAACTTTGGTAAAACAGCTTATATATCATGAAGCAATCTGTAAACTACTTTCTAAGCRTGATCACTGGCTGTTATATAACAGTAGAGTAGAATAACAGTAGAGTGTAATTGTTTTAGAAACCTTTTTTCCATGTCTATTACTAAAAAAATGGCTTAAGTTAAATCCAGTTCAGAGAGCAATTATTTCATAATCTAGACTAACCTTTCATATTTCGGTGTTTGGGAAGACATGCTTTATAACATTTGACTACTAAACTTTGAAAAATGACCATGAGACATGACCAATCACTGTGTCTCATAAATATTTTGAGAGACTGTTTTGTCTGGATACATTGTGTCCTAAATATCTATTTACCTCATGTGTATTACCTCAAAAGTAGCAGTTTAGACAAAATCATTTACAACTTATTGAGTAAATAAGTGCTAAATCCAAGATTTACCTGAACAGAGCCCTTGCTTAAGATACATAATTCCTCTTCTAAAAATTACCTAAATGCATAATGTATCATCATCACAGTTCTGGCATAGGTATTTGAGTTTGTCAGCTTAATACATGTTTTAGAAAGGTATCCAAATAAATAACGTTGAGAGGGGATTGTTGTGGATATTATAACTGCCTTTGAAATTTCTGTATTCCTGTGTTTAACTGATGTTTATTTTAACATTTCCAAGTACATTCTTTTTTTTTTTTTTATTGACCTGTAGAATAATTGAATAAGAATAAATCTTATTCATCACAAATGTGCATAATAGTATGGGATCAAAATAGCTCTTATCAATAACAGCCTGGGTATTTCTACATCAGTCACATTGCTGTAAGATCCTTTTCCCTTCCGTTCAATAAATAGTATTCTGTTCTTGGTATGAAGTACAGCATAGAATCTGGGCAACTAAAACAGAGCTTTTTCCCTCTATAGTGAAGCTTTTACTGTAACATAGTCTATTGACTTGCTGCCAGTCATTAAGTTTCATACTTTATTTTTTTTAACTCTCAAAGGAAATCTGATTTTTTTTATCTCCTTACTTAGGTTTTTGATGACATGTTCTTAAAAAAAATCACTMTGCTGGACAAAGCGTAGTGTGAGAGTGCAGTTGTAGCAGGTGATTCTTAATCATCATGATACTCCACTTAATTGAGACAATGAAAGCAATGCAAAYCAATATGTGTCAATTAATCTTCAATATTTATTACCCAGAATGATACCAGTTTATAGCTTATGGCTTAGTGACCTCATTTGCTTACACACAAAAAGGTCTTTTAGAATTACACAAGTTGTTTGTCTATTTCAATATTGTCATATTTTAGATAGAATTTTGTTTATGTGGTCACATAATGAAATCATGTGAACAACAAACTGTTAATTGGTACAATAGGTGGATATTGTTAATGAGACCTCATCTCAAACGTGCAGATACAAATGCAGCAAGGCTTTATTAACGCTTTTAATAAGTGTGAGCACTGACTGCTCTAGTGTTCTAGGTCAGTACCTGTCACCAGCGTTGATATCTCATCCTTGTAACCACCAGAGTTCAGCAAACCCAAGACACTATATCCTTTTAAATATCTCCCTGAAATGGTCATCTAAATCTGCTGCCAAGTGGGTTCTTCCTGCTTTCATGAAGTCAAGCACAACCTGCCTGCTTTGAGTAGCTGCGAGAGAGCTGGTGGTGTATGAGGAAATCAAACGAGTCCATATCAAAGGGAACTGTTGAAGTAGATGTTAGAGGCAACCATTGATTTTTCTCTGGCGATAGTAACAGAGGAAGGGAGAATCTCATGTGAATATCTGCTTATACATGTGACTGAATGTTTAGATATGTTGAAATATGCATATGAAATACATGTGAATATACACACACACACACACACACACACACACACACACACACAGTCTCCTTTTTGGCTGTATGTGAGTCTGTATATGTCTGTGTATTCATATCTGCCTGGGGATGTATGCACATATGTTCTTGAAATGCAAAGGAGTGTTTAAAAAGTCAAATATACAGCAACAGTCTTTCAGTATCTTAATTTTTATCTTTCTCATCTTTATGTTTTTCATGTGAAATTTTCACAAGTTTATGACTTGATGAAATAATTCTTTGAATTCATTGTAATTTCCACAGCCATCTAACACATTGATTAAAATACCCGGGTAGAGGACAGAAGAGCCATATGATTTTTTTTTTATCAGTGGCTATTTGAGGCAATGCAGCGTGTCTTTATTTAGTATTTTAGACAATTATTGTTGATGATGTACTGCTATTATATATAGTCTTTAAAGGTAGGATGCAGAATGTTTTGGTACTGTGCTAGTTCTTTAATGATGAATTTAACTGGTCTAACCTTTTTAACTGACTGAATGTCTAGWCTTGTGGAAATGTGAGTCGTGCTCCCAAATAACATACACTCAGTGCATATTCCCTTAACACATTCTAACAGAACAACATTGAAAAGAGTACTAAACATKTAAGTAAAGGTAAAATTTGTTTAAGATAATACCCTTCCTGGTGGGCATGGCATATTCTTCTAACAACAGTGATATGGAGTTGGTAGAATAAATTTGTTTACTTGATTAAAAAAGCACCCTAAAAGTGATCATGATGAGGGAAAGAAGTTTTCTGTAAATATTTGAAATATTGTGGATAACATAACATAATGCTCTTACTAATTCAGAATTCACAACTTCATATCCTTTTCTGCTGCTTATCAAAGGATAATACAGATTTTTAGTATCATGTACTTGAAAAAAGAAACAGGTCCTTGCAAATGTGTYTATATACATACAAATGTATAAGGTGTATAAGGTATAATTAAATTATTTTCCTTGCTTGTTTCTTTTAAAAATATGTATATATATTATTTTTCTCCAGGAATCAAGAGACAGTTCAAACATCACCATGGCTTCAAGCTAGGAATCCAGCTGGACAAGAGTTATATCCCAGATTTTTTGGCATTGCAAGCTGAACCTGACACATCCTACAGTTGTATACACAATGTAGCCAATTCACAGTCTTCAGACTATTTCTACAGTCTGAATGTCACATCCAGTCCCAAAACAACAATGGAAAATGGATTTTAAGATTCTTTTTATCAATAATCTTTTCAAAGGAAAAAATTGTATTAATGGAAAATGATGCAATTAAACTGCAATTTTGTTGCTACCTTTGAGTTGTAGTCCAGCATATGCATTTTTTACATTAATTTTACATTTTTATGAAAATGTGAGTTCATATGTTCACATTTCTATGCTTCTCATTCCCTGCATACCAAAACAGTTATTTTTTCAAGTTTTATTTATTGCTGTTGCTCATTTTTTATGTAATATATTTTTAAATGTTAAAGAATGACACATTTTGGGTAATTTTCCTCAGACTTAAAAAAAAATCAATAAGCCATTTTAGTCTCTATCTATCAAAGTTGTTTCATACTTGTCTATTTTAAAGCAGGACTGCAATACTTTAATAGGATTGAGAGAGCTATTTGAAATGTATGCCAATGATTCCTGTCATTTCATGGCAGCCCTGCCATGGTTCACTGAGCCCCCTCTTTTCTCTTGTCAGCTCAACTGAAGACAAGCATTTAGTTGCAAACTTTAAGCAGGTTGTGCAAAACAGAAATGATGTGACTGCTTCTCTTCCTGCACAATAATGTCACTGCTGGTCAATGTGAGAAGGTCAGGTTGCTCCTTGTAAAGCTACATGATACCACTTGCCTATTTGAACAAGTTAAGTTAACTGCTGAATCTGGTCCCTGCAGGCGTTGAAAACTCACCCTTTTATCAAGTCTGCATTACATAAGAAAGAACAATTGTGCAGGGAGGATTTCTGATTATATGTTTATGTACTTTATAAGGACAGTTCCCAGACCAGTGTTGCAGGTAATGTATTTAGTTTAAGCGGAAAGACTTTAAAGTAATGGCTGTTTTGACCTTCAAATAGACTCCTTTTTTGTTATTGTTGGTAGGACCCAAGAGTGACGCCCATCTTTGATGCTGACAGAATTTAAAGCAAGGCCATTGCCCTGCATTTTCTGCCTTGTAGCACACAAAAGTAAAATTGTATGTCAGGCCGAGATGTCGGGGAGCTGACAAGATGCCCCAGTGACATTTCAGCTGGAAAGAGCAAGTGTCTTGCAACCAAGTGGTCAAATATCAAATAATAGGTCAAGCAGGAAGGAGCTGAGTTCTAACCACAAAGAGGTTTCTGGTAACTTACTTGACAAGCTTTTGGGTGCTTTGTGGCTTGACAAAGTGATGTTCTGTTGGGTATCGCTAGACAGACTGTTCTTTATCGCCTTCAGAAGATCAGACATTGACATTGATTAAACTCTTTAACCCTTAAAGGTTAAATCCTAGCAGTTTCATCATTGTGAATGAAGAACAAAAGAAAAATTGTAATATACCATTTGTTTTTGTATTAATCACTGAACTCCCCAGTGTTATTAATTTTTGATGTGCTATGTTGTTTTTGACAAAAAGATTGAATGCAAAATCCATATAGTAGATTGTTTCTCATTATGGGCCAATGATACATTAGAAAAATAATATTATGTATTATGGAATTTGTATTTTTTTCTGATACGTCACTAGCAGCATTTTATTTTAAGGAGTTCAGAATTCTGAATTACCACTTTAGCTGGAAAACATTTTTTGTGTAGATAATAGCACTACTTCTAATGATAAAAGTCTTGCTAATACCCTTCCTTTCAAGTACTGAAGAGGCTAGCATTAATCCCCATTTTAATTAATTAAATTAATCCCCAATTTAATAAAAGATAAAATAACTTTAATAGAAAACACTTTGAAGTTTTTCAGGTATTTGTCTATTTTTCCAGTCTATTGTTTGTAGCCACAATGTACATGTATGTATATATGCTAAAACAGAAACATACAAAAAATTCTACATCAACAAGAACTCTCAAATGTGAGAGCTGCTGATACAGGAAGAACACTGTTTTCTTTATGGTAATGTATTTAATCTCATTGCTGACATGACCTCAAGCTACTAAATAAAATCACAGGCTGAATCTTTGTGTTCTCTGTCATCATTGGCACTGCATGCTGTATAGTGTACATATGRGAGGATTTTTTTCTGAGTTATGTTTCTAATCCTGAAACCAACATTTCACTGACAGTGGATCTTACCTCCTTTAATTACCATTGACTGCTCCATGCATTAACTTCGTTATGGTTTCACAGGGGCCACAGCTATGGCAAACTGCCCTAGTTAACAGAAATAGTCTAGTGGTCTGTCATTTGTTATGAAAACTAGTTTGAATGCTTTTACTGAAAGAAGGCTGCCTACGTCAGTTACTACATTGAAGTACTGACCAGCTGAGAGTTTCAGATTGTTCTTCTGAAACCAGTCACTTTGAAGAGAATTTCCAGTTTCAGACACCCATTTGAAAAGGGAAGCCACTCATTCCCAGCTGGTGAATAAGAAGTTGAATACCRGATCATAATTAGTAAACTATTCTTACATTGCTTTTCCAGGCATCTAATAAATAGGAGTTTGTGATAAATTCCAAAAGAACAGAAAAAAACAGCTGGATGGATTCTCCATTAGTAGTCTACAAATGCCCCTACCAGAGCATTTCTTTTGAGGGATGCAGTGGAAATCATCCTCGTGTAGAATGTGACRACACAGGAGCTACCAAAAGAGCATCTTAACTGATCTTAATTTACCCTCTCTGACTTCCAAATTCTTTTCTTAGAGAGGAAGCCTCTGCTTGATGGGTTTATTTTCCCTGTTTTCTGGAGCACAAGGCAAGTAGTAGGTCACAGATACTTTTTCAGATAGGTCTCAAAACAAAGATCATATTCATCTATTTTCTCACCAAGCAAGTTTCAGAGACACCAAAATGTTTCTGAAAAACATTTTTTTTTCTCTACATAGACTGCAAAGTATATGATTAACTTTGTTGGAAGAAGAAGTTTTAGAGTARTTAGTATGAATCATATGTGTGCGTTCTTCTTAGCAAAGAGCTTGTGTATTGAGATGACTGTACTATAAAATTACTTCTCATATTGTTAGCAGTCAGTACTGCAGCTGTAGACAGGAGCTTTATGGCTCTCCTCCTCCCCTATTTGCAAATTCAGAACACTTTTGACAAAAAATTATGGGAATCTTGTCCATTGCTGGAAAAAATCTTGAATCTCCTTAGTAAGGTGATGGTATGAATATTTACCTATGGATTACTGCTGCCTACAGGACTCTCAGAACTCAAAAACTCTGAACCCCCTCTATTAAATGAAAGGCATTATTTTATATTATGTTTTTGAATTTAGTCAATTTGATCATTTGGTCACTTGCTGCAGTGTTTTATATAATTCTCCTGTCATCCAATACTTCAAAGTTTATCCAATTTTTCCCAGGCTTTTGTAGGTCTGCATGTTCAGTGGTATATCTTAGCTCCTAAGAATCTGTTCTTTAAAATACGAAGTTGCTTTAGGGAGGTTTTAGAGAGATTTTCTATATTGTTGGTGTGTTCTTTGGTGCCTGAAAGCTAAGCCCTTGGACAGTACTGACTGCTGGATAGAAATCTGTATGTAAAAAGCATCCTGCTTCCACTGCTGCTAATGAGCACCAGGCTTACTTCTGCCTATTTATACTTGGCCTTAAAATCTAACTTCATAAAAATAACCTTTCCTGCCCTTCTTGCTTTCATCCTGCTTAGTAAAGTTATTAGACTTTCACTAATTTGGCTTTACTTTGGCCTTCATTAGCCCTTGGTGATCCATTTTGAACAACCATCTCACATCATGTCTGCCCCTACACGCACCTCAGTTCCATTTGGAAATATTTAAGTATCAGCTTTCCTCCATGCATGAGGTTCCTAACCATCTAAAGTAATGCAATCTAAAGGTATCTTTTTTTACATATAAGTTATCTTACTGTTTCATGTGCAGTACTTTTGGATTGAAAGTGATGTAAATGCGGTCTCAGATAGATTCTTCACCTTTATTTTGACTTCAGTTTCATGAATGTAGACTTGGATTTCAGTTAGGTCTCTGCAAAAAGACCTTCCTTCTCCAGTGAAAGATGGAAGGTGACATGTTCTTTGTTACACTAATGGGGATCTGCTTGCTGTCATGGGGAACATCATGTAAGGTTGTATACAATTTTATGTATTGTAGTTGGATGTTGATGTTTAAAAAGAAATTGTGTCTTGCTTTATGAATCAGTTGTTCATGATTACTGCATATGAAATTAATCTTTGACTACCGTTTCTGGTCTCTTTGACTACCATTTCTGGTCTCTTAACTGCCATTTCTGGTCTCTGGTAGTATGATAAATCTGAAAAAGGACAAAGGCAGAAAAATGAGAAAAGGTCTTCAGAATTAGGMAGATCCACTTGAAAATTTTCCTTCATCAAAGAGATGTAATAAAAATAAATTTACCACTTATTAACGATACCTGCTGTTTCTTCATAGAATAGCAATAGTAGTGATCATGGACATAAATCTCCAGCCTTCTCATGTCCCCACTATGCCCAAGCTTCAGTTCTTGAATTTTGTTTACCTAATTCAATAAAAGAGACTAATTTTGAAATACATTGAGTTAACTTTAAGCACAAGGATTACAAACATTACTGTTGAAATATTTGATCTTGAGGGTGGACAGAGAATTTTTCTTTAAACCTCTGCTCAATGGTAACAAAGCAGATTGTTCAAAGTGAAAGCAACAAAAAAATTATGGATAATACATAAGCATTGCTTTCATAATTGCTTTGCATTCATTTGTGTGTCGTACATAGCAACTGATGCTTTGTTTTACTCAAACAGCAGTCCCATAGCTGTTGGTTTGTAGGCACTTTAATACCTTAGTTCACAGTGGTGAGTCGGATTCTAAAAAGTCCTGGCCACAGGAACCATARAATCATTAAGGTTAGAAAAGACCTTTAAGATCACGGAGTCCAACTGTAAGCCCTTCAACATCCTGCCTGCTAAACCAGGTCCCCAAGTGCCTCATCTGCACATTCCCTGAACACTGCCAGGGATGGTGACTCCACCACCTCCTTGGGCAGCCTGTCCCAAGGCTCCATCACTCTTTCCTTGTAGAAATCCCTCTTAATGTCTGACCTGAACCTCCCCTGGCAGAACTGGAAGCCGCCTCCTGTTGCAGAACCAGACTATATCCTTGTGAACAGTAGTTTAAGTGAA